GCGCGTCGAACGGTCGAGCTTGATTCCTTAGAACATCGAGAGAAGCAGCCGAGGGATTAAACGACGCTGGAAAAAAACGACTACGAAGCTGTTACGCGTGTGCCTTGATGGGGTGTGCTTTCGGTGTGTTTGGGCGGGGTGTCAGGCAGTCGGTGCCGCATCGGCTCATGCAGCTAGTTTGCTAAAAATGGCAGCGTCGTTCGGTTTTCACCCGTGGAATAACAATTACTGGCTACGACCGAGGAAGAAATCCAGTTGACACCCGGGCGCGGGTAACCTACGAAGAACGGGGAGCAAGGGCGAACACGTGGTCCGTGAGGGAGCAATTCGTCCGGTTTACTATTCGAGGTGCGTGTGCTCGACTAGCTACGCCCCTGGCGCACGTGCGTACGCGTACTTCCACGAGTCGCGTCGTTGCGTGCGGTGCACCGTGCACGTGTGAGTGACAAATCGCGAGTGAAAGTGTCGGAGGCTAGTGACTTTTTTTTTCTATTTTCACGCTCTCCTCACGGGCTTTCTTGCACTTTTGCACGCGCCAACCTGTCTTGACAGCTGAAACTTGACGTTTCGAAGCGTCGGTGTCGACACCTTTGAACGGTCGAATGTTTACGATCGAGTCAGATCGCTGAACCGACCAAATCGAACACGAAAACATTTTCCTGGCAATAAGGGATAAATTTGCCTCGTGATTCCTGTGATTTTTATCGTTCGTTCGACGCGAGTTCAATGCGCGTAACAAAAATTATTCGGTAAATACGCGAAGAAGAGTCCCGTGGCGCCACCTGCGCGTTACGTCCCTGGCAAGGGTCGTCTGTTGACTCTGGTGGTGTTTATTCGCGCTTGCCTCTTCTCTCTCTCTTGCACCGGGTCATTTGTGTTTGGACGATCGGGAATTTTTTGCAATGTGACGGCAAAATGAATCAAGATTAGCGTGATGTCGGACCTGTGCACGCGCCTAACAGTGGGTGCGCGCCTGGATCTCGACTGGAAAACTGGCGGAACGTCTTGAAACAGGTCAAATATCACCGTGAAAATGCCGGCAACGCGACCGTACAGGTGCTTATTGTTATCAAACGGTTTCATGGTCTTCCACGAGACCCTTTATCGACAAACTGCGAATTCGGATTCTCCGACAGTTTCGTGAATCGTGCATCGTGCGTTCTAAGTGCCCTCGCGGCGGTGGGACTCGCGAATCGCGTTCCAACTACGTTATAGGTTAGGATACCGGCACATAACCTTAAAGTGACTCTCAAGCAATACTTTAATCGCTGTTTACGGAGGGATAGAGACGCAAAGCTTTCATGAGCTCTGTCGGTTGCGTGCAGTGTGCTGGCTAACATTAACTGTTTTCGCTGCGTGCTGATTCCTACCACAGTGGGTGATCGGTGCAATGGAATGAGCCGGATGATCGCAGGACAATGAAGGCCAATGGGACAAACAATGGTGATTTCTGTTTGCTCCTTAGTTTATCAAGGAATCGTGTTATTCCTTAGTTCTATAACAAATTTCATTCAGTAGTACCGTAAATACTTCTTGTCACGAGCGTACAAAGTTTTGTGGGTATTGTTTACATTGTATCAACAGATTCTGTTTTTGATTCATGGTACAAGTAGGATGAATGAAACCTAGTACAGAATGTAGATGCAATAATCAACCTGTGGTTTGTGCATAAATTTTATTGTGCAGAAAAGAAAGCAACTACGTAATATCTTAAAGCGATACTAGCAAAAGTTACACAAGCCATAAAAAGCTATCGTATCAATAACAGATGCATACTGGCAATTTTAGGATAGTGTAGTATCTCAGTCAATGAGTAGATATTGTTGTTGTATTAAAATCTTTGCTGCTGGGACATATAAATATTAACTTTCTTGCTGCGATATCTTTATTGTTACAAGAAATATCTGTTGGTCTATTGTAAATGATACCAAAGCATACTTTGTTGCTTATAATTTCATAGTGCAGGATCAAATCCCTTATCGGTTGCTTTAACCAGACAACCAAAAGTATCGACACATAACTAAAATGCTAAATTTTGAAATTTCAGGCTGTAGCCGCCTAAATACGCCATTGGCAGCCACCACCACACTGGAGGATCCAGGAACACCAGCCTCTTGGAAGGGCCCGCCGCCGGGCTCGGAGGCATCACCCTTTACACCCAACTCCGTTGGTCAGGGTGGTGGCCCTGGCTCTGGTCCCTATAATAGTTCAGGTGGTCCACCGAGCAATGCAGCCTTTCAAGGACCGAGTCCTTTTCCCGGTAGTGCCGGTAGTCCGGCGGGTGCACCACCTTATCAAGGTCCACCTCCCGGTTCCGCGACGCCTCAGTACACTGCCTCACCCGCGCCGAGCGGTTCTTCGACCCCTGGTCCAGGACCACCACCGAATTCCTCGGGGTTCCCTCCACCGCCAAACAATTCTGGACCTCCTTACAATGGACCTGGACCAAGCCCGTTCGGCTCGCCTTCCGGTGGACCACCACAATTCGTGGGTCGACCCGGCTCCTCGGGACCACCTTTCGTACCTCCTGGAGCAGGAAATCCTCACTTTCCTTCGCACGGCCAGCCGTTCGGTGGACCCCAGTACGGTATGCCGCCGGGCAGTCCGTTTGGACCCGGTCATCCGATGACAGGACCCATTGGGCCGGGTCATCCCGCGATGATGGGACCTGGCGGACCCGTCGACAGAATGGACCAAGGGTGAGTCTTTGCAATCTTCATTTTTCTCATCCTTTGCTTATCAATTATGGACTATGGCGTACCCATGCTTTTACGTTTAAACTTGTATAAATTTTTATTCGGGAAACGTTTTCAAAGAATGAGGATCCAGAGAAATTGTTCGCAAAAGGGTTAACGGTTAGATCCTTAATTGATAAGCAACTGTATTAAATCGAAAAGGTACCCACGATCTTAGCGAATGAAATTAGTGCATGCTATTCAATCGTTTCGTCTCGAGCAAAAATAAAACGTGCTCAGCAGTGTAGCGTAAGGGAGGAACATTGCACGCAGCAATGACACAGCGCGTATGAAATGTAAAACTCTCGTACCGAGTATGCAAAACGAACAAATTCGTGTTCTCTTATTTCTCGATCGCGATATCATCGACAAGCTATCTTTGCTTTGCCCGGCAAATTCAAAAACTCGTCATTATTAACGTGTAAAGCAACGTGTCGAACGTTGTCAGGCTGCTAAACATTCCTAGATAACATGGTTCACAGGTAGCTACCATTATTTATCACTCGCGTCCCGGTTAGTCCGCATTCTTGCCTGATAATCCTGCTTCGACAGGGCAGCGTTCTTGCCCTCTGGAAGTGATCTTGAATCGTTTGCATCGTCCTCGATGCTCTGCCAGGCAAACTCGTTCTCGAAATCGGTTACGTTCGAAACGAGCTTTCTTTAGTTTACACGATAAGCATGTACCGTCTACGAGGCGTTAAAAATTGTTGCGACTAGTCTTCAAACGAATTCGAGTTTCTCGTAATTTGTTGAGAAGCACTGTCGGTAAAATCAGATTGTATGAAATCGAGATTGCGCGTGCATTTTTCTTAACCGGTTGCCAAACTTTTTCTTCGTTCGTTGCCAGACCGTGCGAAAACATATTGTCTCGTTGTTAAGTATCGTTTTTGCGAACGAAACGAGCCAGGATTGGCCGCGCAGACGAAGAAACCTGTAATGAACGGCGCCAGCAGTGAATTTCTCCGTGCTAAACTTGGCAGCCGTGTCACTGATTCGCTTATCTGCGATCTAGATTATCGATGCGTTCGAAAAATTCGCGTTATCCACGTTCTCGCTGTTTCTATGCCTCTAAACCAGTACCTTTGCTGAAACATGCTATAACTTATCCGGAGGGTTGACCGGTCCACTTAGATCACCGTGAACCAGTTTTTCCGAATAGTTCTCTGACAAACGTCTTTAGAGGCGTGACTCTAAAACGAACCGAGGGCGTAGAATTTCCTTGCACCGATACTTTAGAGACTGGATTAAAATAAAACTTGCCCTGGAGCAGGAAATCCTCACTTTCCTTCGCACGGCCAGCCGTTCGGTGGACCCCAGTACGGTATGCCGCCGGGCAGTCCGTTTGGACCCGGTCATCCGATGACAGGACCCATTGGGCCGGGTCATCCCGCGATGATGGGACCTGGCGGACCCGTCGACAGAATGGACCAAGGGTGAGTCTTTGCAATCTTCATTTTTCTCATCCTTTGCTTATCAATTATGGACTATGGCGTACCCATGCTTTTACGTTTAAACTTGTATAAATTTTTATTCGGGAAACGTTTTCAAAGAATGAGGATCCAGAGAAATTGTTCGCAAAAGGGTTAACGGTTAGATCCTTAATTGATAAGCAACTGTATTAAATCGAAAAGGTACCCACGATCTTAGCGAATGAAATTAGTGCATGCTATTCAATCGTTTCGTCTCGAGCAAAAATAAAACGTGCTCAGCAGTGTAGCGTAAGGGAGGAACATTGCACGCAGCAATGACACAGCGCGTATGAAATGTAAAACTCTCGTACCGAGTATGCAAAACGAACAAATTCGTGTTCTCTTATTTCTCGATCGCGATATCATCGACAAGCTATCTTTGCTTTGCCCGGCAAATTCAAAAACTCGTCATTATTAACGTGTAAAGCAACGTGTCGAACGTTGTCAGGCTGCTAAACATTCCTAGATAACATGGTTCACAGGTAGCTACCATTATTTATCACTCGCGTCCCGGTTAGTCCGCATTCTTGCCTGATAATCCTGCTTCGACAGGGCAGCGTTCTTGCCCTCTGGAAGTGATCTTGAATCGTTTGCATCGTCCTCGATGCTCTGCCAGGCAAACTCGTTCTCGAAATCGGTTACGTTCGAAACGAGCTTTCTTTAGTTTACACGATAAGCATGTACCGTCTACGAGGCGTTAAAAATTGTTGCGACTAGTCTTCAAACGAATTCGAGTTTCTCGTAATTTGTTGAGAAGCACTGTCGGTAAAATCAGATTGTATGAAATCGAGATTGCGCGTGCATTTTTCTTAACCGGTTGCCAAACTTTTTCTTCGTTCGTTGCCAGACCGTGCGAAAACATATTGTCTCGTTGTTAAGTATCGTTTTTGCGAACGAAACGAGCCAGGATTGGCCGCGCAGACGAAGAAACCTGTAATGAACGGCGCCAGCAGTGAATTTCTCCGTGCTAAACTTGGCAGCCGTGTCACTGATTCGCTTATCTGCGATCTAGATTATCGATGCGTTCGAAAAATTCGCGTTATCCACGTTCTCGCTGTTTCTATGCCTCTAAACCAGTACCTTTGCTGAAACATGCTATAACTTATCCGGAGGGTTGACCGGTCCACTTAGATCACCGTGAACCAGTTTTTCCGAATAGTTCTCTGACAAACGTCTTTAGAGGCGTGACTCTAAAACGAACCGAGGGCGTAGAATTTCCTTGCACCGATACTTTAGAGACTGGATTAAAATAAAACTTGCTCCTTGTTTATCTCTAACCAGATCGGTAGATATCGAACGTTAATAATTTTTTACAGTCTGAAACTGTGGATGTTTTCGCGTATCGGAAACCTACAATGCGTGGGCACGTACGTTCCAAGTTTATAAGTGCCGCGAATCTCTGTAAACTGTTGAGGGAAAACTGATGTACCGCTAATGGTACCCTTAGTCTCGGTTGTTTGTTTCTAGCGATCGTAAGATGTTCCCAGAATTAGAGTTCTAATTTAAATTGGAGGAATATCGAATGATCGAGAGGAGCCGATACTTCGGTTCTTCTGTAATGCTTCGCTTACCCATATTTAAGCGACGACTGCAAGTACTTTTGCTCATTTTATAAAGAAACTTTGTTAAACATTTTATCGTATAATTTGGGAACATGCATATTTCGATAGGTTTCGATACATTGATAATTTTAATAGGATTTATTAACTGCGAAGAAAGTCGATCAGTCGAATTTATCTCTGTTCGATACGATCAGCAAGGGGAGGGAGTATGCGAGTCACTTAATACGAGTTTTAATTTCTGTCAAGGTTTAATTAACCCCAGGTAGCCCTATAATTTTCTCGACGTTGAACAATTGTCTACCTGTCGCAACTTAGTTCGCACTTTCCCCTTCCATTCTTCGTGGCAAGTTCACTCCACGACGAAGAAATTGCAGTAAGATAAATTAACGAGAATGAAGTGGACTTTTGTAGTCTGTTCCTTCTCGTCGTTTCTCTTCTTTTCGTGCCTTCTTTCTCTCTTTTTCTTTGTTTTTATTGCATTGTAACCAGCAACGCGTATTGTTTGAAAAGGGGTAAGCGAAGGGAGGGAGAGTAGAGTTCGAGGATAAAATAACGGCGTGTCACGATCTTGGCAGGGATTGTACCGCGGGAGGTGACGCTATGCTTTTGTAGGAGGTAGTACGCGACCCACCTCCCCTTTTCTCCCTAAAGCCTCCTAGCCACCCCGTGTTACGGAGGACGGGTGAACCAACGAGTGGAGGGAGCTCGAGGGGTGCAAGGGTGGCACGAAGGTTCTCATATTTCCTGGCTTTTAATTTTTCGTGGATATCATGGTTACCGAATTTCTTTTTTCTCCTTTTTCCTATCGGCCCTATTATTGCTTTCGCGATTCTTCGAATTCGATTGTATCGATATTTCAGAAATACTCGACTTTTCAATTAGACAGTTTCGAATTAAATTATCGCCCTATACCTTTGCACTCAGCTTTCTCACAAATCATTTTCCCTGAAATTCGAGATTCAAAAGTCAAACTCAGAAACCTCAACTATTTTACTGATTCATAAAGGTCTACCGTGCAGAGGTTAAATTAATATTTCTTTTTATTTGCCAACACTCATGAAATTATATGATAGGAAAAATCTGAAAGAGTAAATTTTTTGGAAAATGTAAAAGTTGATTGAGAACCGCTCGAATCCTGTAGCTACCCTCTCCCGCTGTTCCTTGCTTCCAGGGGTTTGGGTAGCGAGCGCAAGGTGGAGGTTGGAGGAGGGGGGTAGGGCAAAGGGATGGGACGGGACGGGGTGGTATAGGTGTAGGTAGAAAATCGAGGATGGGGTGGCGATCCGTCGTCGGTCTGGGCCCTAGCAGCTCGTGCGTCCGCCGAGCGTAGCGTTTACGCCGTTCGCGTGTGTAAAAGGGATCCTCGCGAGCATTGGCCATCGATGGCGCGCGTTTCCATACCGTTTGTCTCAGGTCGTGGTCGAGGCCGTGGTTCCACGCTGTTACTCCCGCTAACGTTTCAGAAAACGAGCACGAGAAATTCGTATCGCTTTATAGCGGTCGCTTGGCCGCAAGGAGGGTCTGTTTGTACCGCGTTCTCGAAACGGGTAATGGTAATTGATCGGTAACCCGTAGAATATCTCGGTTTTCGGTCAGGTGTATACGCGAGGGCTTCCGATCGATCCACAATTTTTAGTTAAACTTTTCAATCGAGGTACCATTCCTCGATTAAAGCGACTTATTAAGAGACCTAACGTGCGAGGATAGGAGATTCTACGTTAGGTTTTCTTGCAGTATCGTGAGGAATTTTAAATAGAAGCTATATCAAAGGATAGGGGAAAACCATCGAATTCGATCGAAAGATTTCTCCTTGATACGGTGTGTTTTCAGTAGTTGATAATTAATAACCCACGAGTAACTTCGCCGATAAAAATAAAAGGTGTAATTAAAGTTCACACGTACGAATCGTAGCTCGCGTTCGAGTTAAATTAATATTTATAACTTCGGTTCAATTCGTTGCGCCTGGAAATACTATTATTAATTAATTGTTAATTAATTTGTTACACGAGAGTCGTGCAGTTGCAGTTATGCATTTCGTTGGAGAAAAAGGGCCAGTATAATTAATACCGAACAACAATTACCAACTCGGTTGCGACGTTGTAAATCGTATCAGCTGTTAGGGAGAATTCTGTCCGCGTTTAAAAATAAAAATATAGGAGTTCGCCTACGTTGCAAAGTTTTTGGTTTATCCAATTGAGAGGGCTCTTATGAGGTGCTCGAAATGATCCGATAAGGGAAACGAGAAGATATCACGAAAGAGACAGATAAGATTCGTTAAAAATAAAAACATTAGCCGACGAGAGGGGCAAAGGGATGGGACGGGACGGGGTGGTATAGGTGTAGGTAGAAAATCGAGGATGGGGTGGCGATCCGTCGTCGGTCTGGGCCCTAGCAGCTCGTGCGTCCGCCGAGCGTAGCGTTTACGCCGTTCGCGTGTGTAAAAGGGATCCTCGCGAGCATTGGCCATCGATGGCGCGCGTTTCCATACCGTTTGTCTCAGGTCGTGGTCGAGGCCGTGGTTCCACGCTGTTACTCCCGCTAACGTTTCAGAAAACGAGCACGAGAAATTCGTATCGCTTTATAGCGGTCGCTTGGCCGCAAGGAGGGTCTGTTTGTACCGCGTTCTCGAAACGGGTAATGGTAATTGATCGGTAACCCGTAGAATATCTCGGTTTTCGGTCAGGTGTATACGCGAGGGCTTCCGATCGATCCACAATTTTTAGTTAAACTTTTCAATCGAGGTACCATTCCTCGATTAAAGCGACTTATTAAGAGACCTAACGTGCGAGGATAGGAGATTCTACGTTAGGTTTTCTTGCAGTATCGTGAGGAATTTTAAATAGAAGCTATATCAAAGGATAGGGGAAAACCATCGAATTCGATCGAAAGATTTCTCCTTGATACGGTGTGTTTTCAGTAGTTGATAATTAATAACCCACGAGTAACTTCGCCGATAAAAATAAAAGGTGTAATTAAAGTTCACACGTACGAATCGTAGCTCGCGTTCGAGTTAAATTAATATTTATAACTTCGGTTCAATTCGTTGCGCCTGGAAATACTATTATTAATTAATTGTTAATTAATTTGTTACACGAGAGTCGTGCAGTTGCAGTTATGCATTTCGTTGGAGAAAAAGGGCCAGTATAATTAATACCGAACAACAATTACCAACTCGGTTG